TAGTGCATTGCACAGTGAGGTAGAATTTATTTTAATGATAGAACCTTAGACGCTCCCAGACTGACCTAAGAATTAAGTGCTACTCTGCCATTTACTAGCTGCACAAGTTGGTTAAACCCTTAAGACTGACTGAATTTCATCTGAAAAAAAAATGGACAATAAACGTACCTGTTGCACTGGACTGAAGGACCACTTAAGTGAAATGATACCTGCAAAATGATTAGCACAGTGTTAAATGTTACCCATTATTATGCAGTAGAAGAAGAACTTTCTGTTGAATGTCTGAATATTTCATTTGATATACTCAAAGTATGCTTGTAAAAGTATTATGTTGAATCTTGTGAGAATGCCTATATGCTACCACTGTTGACTTTCGGAAACAAATTTCATGTGATTCAACCTATTAGCAGTAAAAGGATACAATGTTGGTTTTCTTTCTTTCCACATGCTGCACCAGAAAATACTCATAGGAATCTCTTCCAGAAAGTAAATAGTCTCTTCAGACATATACTCTCTTTAGATATATAGACATATATGAAATTTGAATTTCATTTTATGAATTAACTTTATGAATGATATTTATGAATTCATAAATTCATATATGAAATTCATATATCTTCAGACATATAGAAAATGTTATTCAAGAATGTCTTGTAAGGACAAATATATCTTTTGCTTGGGTAACTCTGATGCTGGGATATTTTCTTTGAATAGGTATGAATAGATCTCCCAGCTGGTATGAGTATCTCCAGAAGCCTCAAACACCTATGCTCCAAGCAGAGATTTTGCCCTGTGAATGATGGTTATAACATTGTTCTTCCTCCTCTCTTCATCCCACCATCAAAACTCCCAAGTTAAGATTTTATTTTCCTCTTCAGGTGAGTCCGAATTTGTGCTAATAGATATACCATCTAGGCCAATTAGGCCATGTAGATAAACTTAAAGTCAAGACATTTTATATAAACTATCTTTTAACTGTTACAACTAGTTCATAAGAAGATGAAACAGTCATCATGCCTCATCCTACCTAAAGAGGGATTCTGCAATATAAGGTGATATAGGAAACTAGTAGTGGAACCATATGTGACATAAAATCTCTCCCAGAAAATATTAGACAGGCCTGCTAGGCATTTCATCCACTCAGCAATTTAAGTCTTTTTCAGTCTCAAGATAATGAAGGAATCAATGAATCAGTATAGTTTATTGAGCAATTTAATATATGCCAGGCATTCCAGTAGGTTCTTTTATGGACACTGTTTCATTTGCACCTCACAACAATCTTGTAAAATAGTGAGGTATTATTCTGAGCAAATGAGGTCTTAGAGACGGCAGGTGACTTAGGAAGATCACAAAACTAATAAGTAATAAAGCTGGAATTTGAATACACATCATTTAATTCCAACGTAGCCTTCTACCATCTTTCTTGGAAGCATCATCTCCCTCAAATTTATATGTTTTTTTATATATGCATTCTCCCAAAATCTGGTTGTATAACCAAAGAGGCAGTTTATTGACTTAGTTAAAAGACCATTTCTTAACTACATTTTTTCCCCTTGTCATTAAATGTTGTCTACAATTTAAATTGAGAGAAACTGGCAAGGGAGGGTGCAAAGGTATTGCAAACAGAACAAGAATAAGGGACAATCTGGCTGACAGTATTGTCCCTATGACTCCAAAAAGTAGATCGCATCTCAATCATCTTTGCATCCCCTATAGTACCTTGTATATTTAAACAGTGAATTAAAAAATGACCTACTTGTACACCTTGGACAAGTCAGGCAATCTCTTTGGAAGAGATGGATCAGATAACCTGGCAGAGCTCTGATTCTGTGGGCATTTGTGACCTTCTGTAGCCACCAGTCAACTTGTACAGGGATTACATGAAGGACAAAGAACTCATGGAGCTGCATTCTTGGTTGCAGGATGGGAAACAGTCTCAAGAGATAATAAACCATCTTTTCAAAGACTAGCTATCCCCTGGGAACATTCTCTGGGCCATACCTATCTTAGAAAAAGTTGACTACTACTGTAGTTATTCTCTTTGGCATAATAAGGGAGGAGGAGCTGTTCCAAGTCAAGATTTTATATTTGGGAAGTTCAGGGAATTATATTTTCCATTGGGTAATAGCCAATCTATGGTCTAAATCAGTACATCTAAAACTTTTTTCCTTAAGTACTCTAATTAGTAGGAGAGACAATTTATATTCCTAACGACTTGATGATCAGCCACAAGTAAAAAATCTCTTGGAAATCTTATGTTTTCATTCCCCCAAATTCATGCAAATCTTCCTTCTATGTATACTATCTCCATTTTTTTTTAATAAGAAATCATTTTCCAAAAATTTTCAAATTAAAATTGACCTGTTAAAAAAGTTGCACCACGTTGATCCTGGGACTTCACTTTGTCATAGACACAGCTTTGTATCCTCTAGATTTGAGAATATACACATTCTAGTTTAGGAAGCACTCATGGATCCAAATAACCACTACCCTCCCTCCAGATTTATATAAAGAATGAAGTAAGCAAAGAATTCAGTTATTTGTGTGCATGATGCCCAACATTTGTTGCAATATTTTGGCATCATATAGAAGAAATATCTGAGAGTTCCAGACCATCTTTTGAAACATGGGTGTAGTTGGTTTCTTCTCTGCAATAACACAAGCACTTCATATAATCTAAAGTTGCTATAGCTTCCAGACAGAACCTAACTTGCATCTTTATCTTGTCACAATAAAGAGACTACAATGAGTAGGAAACTTTTGCATAAAGAAATTAACAGAATATTAGACAGTATAATGGATAAAGTAGCACTTAGATTTCCTATGCAGTACCCTGGATTTCTCAGTATTTCTCCACATTTGATTTCCTCTTCCGTTTTCTAGACCCTGAATGAAAGTAAGCCGAGGCAGGCTATACATTGCATTGAGACACAAGTGCTTTGAGGAGATTAGGTGGATTTATGCCCAAGAGGTAGGGTGGACTTCCTGAGCCCAAGAAGGTGGTAACCAAGAAGAACATGAACAGAAGGCACCATTGGGACTTTTTCTCTCTAGTGTCCTTATGAATTGAGTAATTCATTTGTATCACTTGTATAGACTTGATTCAACCCAGAGCTACTGTCTTAGTTTGAGGAATAGAGTTTTAGCCACCAGAAGGCAGGAGATTAAAACTGCAGGCACCTATGAAAACTCTCTGGGCATCACTCAGGACTTCAGGTCCTGGGTCAGAGAGGATTCTGCCTTCTCTTTGTTCCCATTTTCTCTCTCATGAAGGATGAATTAAACCACTCTCCCTCCATCTTCACCCAAGACATCACAGTTTTTAACCACTTCCTCCCTGCTCCTTATAAGAGAAAGAAAGGAGATTCTGTTTGTTGCATTGGCAGGCACAGCACTTACTAGATAAACCACAATCTAGATTATTATGCCTGTCAAGTCTGGAAATACTGCAATCCAACATTTTTGGTCTCAGATCTCAGGTATTCTTTTTCCAATAGACCATCTAGAATTCTACCTATGGTTGAAATATAATCAATCAAATAACAAAGCCACTTAGGAGATATAAAGTATAGAGGGAGGCAACAAGGTGTAAACTAAGATTAAGCACAAGAGCTCTGTAGTCAAATAGACTGTGTTCAAATCCTGGCTCTCCTAATTTCTACATATGTGACTTCAAAACATTTCTTAACCTCTTTAAGCCTAAGTTTTCATCTGTAAAATGGTATAATAATAGTACAGGCCTCCTAAGGTGGTTTTATTGATTAAGTGAGCCAATATTTATAAAGTACTTTTCACCATGCCTAACACTTAACATGGAATAAATGATAATTTGTCATAAGATAGAGCCCCTGTCCTCAGGGAAGCAAGAATATAATTTGGGACAGGACATAAAGATACAGTAAAAGATAGTGTGTTAGCACTAAAATCATCACACTATGAGCAACATAGAGAAAGGAGGTGGAAATTTAAATGGGAGTAGCTTAGGAAGACTCCATGAAAGAAGAACGTAACCTAGAATTTGAAAATTGGGCTGGATTTGGATTAGGCAAAAGAGAGAAGGCAAGATTTCTAAATGGAAGGAGAACTGAAGTGTATGGAGCAGAGAGGAGAATGATGGATAAGAGGTCAATGAGTAGACCATATGGTACACAACAGGGATAATTGAGGGCCACAGTGGGATTAGCCTAAAAATGTCAGATCCAAGAGAGATTGGAATAATCAGCAGAGGAGCATGAAGGTTGTCACTGAAGCAGTAGGAAGGCATTGAAATTTTTTAAGGAGATGAAAAATATGATAATGGAGAGCAGGATGGATTATAGAGGGAGTAGAAGGGAAATAGGAGATTAGATAGGAGGCTATCACAAGAATCCAAATGTAAAATAACAATGGATAGAACTGATTGGGGCAGTGGGAAGGGACCAAAGCAATAGATATGAGAAATTTCTGAAGGACAAATTATCGATATTTAGGAATAAATTGGATAAAGGAGAGGAAGCAGAATGAATCAATAAAATCTCTAGGTTTTTAGCTACAGAGTTCATGATGCACTATAACAATGTACCAGTAGCATAATTCTCTTTCAATTATGGCATAGATCTACTTATACTTTCCTAAATTTTTTTACTTCAAGTTTCATATAATGAATTCATACTCCGTTTATCCATTTTGTAACTTTGAACTTTAACTTTAAATTGACTTTATTCATTAATTCATTCAGCACATCCTTCTCGGAAACCTTTCTATATTAGGCACTGGAATTAAAACAAAGATCATCAGAATCCCCACCATTGAGGATTTCTCAGTCTTTGGTAGTTGAGGGTAGAGGAGGAAAGGTGAGGGGGTGGCAAATGTATAAATTATAATATTACATGATCTGCTCTAAAATGAAAATGTGCACATAATTGCTAAGGTACCTCAGAAAGTTCTTCAACACTGAGTGGAGGAGTCGGGAATGTGTCATATTAAAGGAGAGATACCTAGAGATTAACGTCATCTTTCCTTTTCATAGGTCCAATATGCTGTCCATGGAAGAAATAAACAAAACTGCAAAGGTACAATTCTTCTTTCGTCCATTCTCAGCTGACCCTACAGTACAGATGGTGACTTTTGTGGCCTTCCTGGTGATGTACCTGACCAGCCTCAGTGGAAATGCCACGATTGCAGTCATTGTCCAGATCAACCACTCCCTCCACACCCCCATGTACTTTTTCCTGGCTAACTTGGCCGTTCTGGAAATGTTCTATACATCTTCCATCGCCCCATTGGCCTTGGCAAACCTGCTTTCAATGGGCAAGACTCCTGTGTCCATCAGTGGATGTGGCACCCAGATGTTTTTCTTTGTCTTCTTGGGTGGGACTGACTGTGTCCTGCTTGCAGTCATGGCTTATGACCGGTTTATAGCAATCTGTTACCCTCTGAGATACACCCTCATCATGAGCTGGCCCTTGTGTGTGGAGCTGATGGTAGGGTCCCTGGGGCTGGGGTTCCTGCTGTCCCTGCCACTGACTATTTTAATCTTCCATCTCCCATTCTGCAACAACAATGAAATCTACCACTTCTACTGTGACATTCCTGCAGTCATGCGCCTGGCTTGTGCAGACACACATGTTCACAAGACTACCCTCTATATCATTAGCTTCATCGTCCTAACCATCCCCCTCTTACTGATCTCCATCTCCTATGTCTTCATTGTGGCAGCCATTTTGAGGATCCGGTCAGCAGAAGGGCGTCACCGGGCCTTCTCCACCTGCTCCTCCCACATCTTAGTGGTCCTCCTGCAGTATGGCTGCACCAGCTTCATATACTTGTCCCCCAGTTCCAGCTACTCTCCTGAGATGGGCCGGGTGGTGTCCGTGGTCTACACTTTTATCACTCCCATTTTAAACCCCTTGATCTATAGTATGAGGAACAAGGAACTAAAAGACGCCCTAAGAAAAGCACTGAGAAAGTTCTAGGTAGGACGATCCTATGACTTATTTAAATTGAGACATTTTTGAGAATGAAATGGGATACTATTAATAGTTATGCTGGAACAACATGCGTGAGCCAGGAATGTCCTCAGCAAACTGAGACATGGACCTTTCTAGGAGCACCAGAGGAAATGAACGCTATTGTCTAATTGAAATACAGCTATATCACGAAGGGCAACATGATGTCCTGGGCATGGATGGAGGAACATCAACATTTATTGGACACCCACTATATATCAGAAACTTTATATGGGTTATCTTGCTTAGCCTGTAGTAAGTACCATTGTCTTCATTTTTTAGAAAGGGAAACTAAGGTGGCTAACAAAAAACATATCCAGGATGAGAACACGAGTATTTAGAAATCTAAAGACTAAGCTGTCTTTACACAACGTCACTCTCCTTGTTCTAGGCTTGCTCTGCTAGTAGGAGTCTACGTAACCTTGGGTAAGTCTCTGTCTCTCTGGGCTTCAGTTTCCTTATTTCTAAAGTGGCAGAGCTGAACTAGAAGATTCTACGTGTCCCTTCCAAGGTCATAACAGTATGCTCTACATATTGGCCAAGCAGGCCACGAATGGCAAAAAAGAGTCTTTGCAGTTAGCCAAAGGAAGGGGAACTTTTTTTCTTAATTTTCTGTTCTGTTAACTGAAATGAAAACTCATGATTCTTTTAATAACTTTTAAAGAGCATCCCAGTAATAAAAAGGATAATAAAAATGGAGGAAAATGTTATTTAATTTAATAAGTAGAAATTTAGGAGAGGAAGAAAGTGGGCATCGTTGAATCTTGGATTCCTCATGAATCTCTTCTGTAGCATCTCAGTGTTCCAGACTCTGCATGAGCTTCCAAGGAGACAGACTCTTAACTTGTAAGATGCTCCATTCCTTGCTGGACAACTCGAGTTGTTAAAGGACTAGACCTTCTCTTGAGCTGACATCTGTCTACAAACAACTTTCTCCCGTGGACCCTGTTTTTACCCTCTAGAGATTTCTTCTACAGGACAGCTCTTCACACATACTAGGACAGATTTTGTGTCTTCAACAGTTGTCAGTCCCTTTCCTCTACAGCAAGCACTCCATCAACTTTTCCTCCAGGAGGTTATATTTGAACCCTCTCATCATATCAGTCACCGTCTAGATTTTCTCTAGTTCCATATCCTTCCACAAATTTTCACCCAGAAATAAACACAATACACTGGGAATATTTCAGTCTGGGGAACTGTTACTTTTCATGACCTGTGAGCTATATTTTCATTTATTCATCCTGAACACTTTAGCCTCACAAATTTGGTATCAAATAAAACCTCCATATAGTTTTCATATGACTTTCAATTCTGCCTGACCATAATTTATTTTACTAACATACATGTAGGACTTTTTATTTCACACTGATACATTGTATTTTTATTGGTTTTGGCCAACTGATCCAAAATGCCAAAGTTGTCTTCAGGATTTATTTTATTGATCATAGTTTTGTGTCTTGGTCAAAATTATAATCATATTTCTTTTTCTTTGTCCAAATCATTAATAAATATCTAGAATATGACAGGCTGAATGGAGCATCTAGGGTAGTCCTCTTCTTTGGGAATTGTTGTCCAACTAGATAGAAATCTGCTCAGTTAATATCATCTGTGGTACATTGTCATAATCATGACCCCTTAGTGAATCCCACCCTCCTGCATCCATAACTTTAGGTAGTCCCCTCCCCTCATGGCTATGTGACTTGCTTTGGCCAAACGGAACATTGGCAACTGTGTTGCAAGCAGAGGCTCATACTTACCCTTTGGGAACTGTTCTCTCTTGCTGCCCTGAGACTGCCACATGAAGAAGCTGGAGCTAGGATGAGACCCTGTGGAGCACAGATAAGCCATCAAGTTGAGGCTCCCTAGACCAACCCCAGTCAATGCACCAGATGACTGCAGCCATGGTAGCAACCCCAGTATGACCAGCAGAAGAACCACTCAGCTGAGCTAGCCCAAAATGCTGACCCACAGAAACATGGGCAAATAAAGTGATTGATATTTTAAGCCATTAAGTTTGGAATGGTTTGTTTTGCAGTGAAAAATAACCAATCAAATCTATAATAAAGCATCTCTCCAAGAAGGATATCATGGGAAGCATATCAAATCCTTTCATACAATCAAAATACACTATAGCACTTGTATAAACCTAACCATTTAGAAGCCTTATTTAAAAATGAGGTGCAGGGCTGGCCCAGTGGCATAGTGGTTAAGTTCGTGTGCTTCAGTTCGGCAGGCTGAAATTCGCAGGTTCGGAGCCCAGGTGCAGACCCACACACCACTTACCAAGCCATGCTGTGGCAGCGTCCCACATATAAAGTAGAGGAAGATGGGCACGGATGTTAGCCCAGGGCCAATCTTCCTCACCAAAAAAAAAAAAATGAGGTGCATTTGGTATGATTTATGTTGGGTCACTTCACACAGGCTCTTAGTAATCACCAGGCTTTTCAAAATTTTTACAAATTATCTGTTTAATCATGCATTTCCAGAATTTTACCAGGGATTGGCGTTGAGATGTCTATCTTATTGTTTCGAAACCCACTAGTAGTTTACAATGTTTTTTTAATATCTGTAGCTTCATCCAGACGGAAAAAGAAACATTTCAATAGCTGTGAGTGCCTTGGGAATGGAGAAGGTGGCATTCATTTTTGAATTCCCAGTATTTAGTACAGTAGGTAGCAATTATTAGACTCAGTTGATTCACTATCAACAGATAAATTACATCTAGGGAGGGTGTCTTGCCCCTCAAAAAAATTGTATGCTCTTTATATAAAGGGATTTTGTTTTAACCTTTTTTCTATCCTTTGTATTCTTCATTGCTCCTTTCACAGTGATAAATATTTCCATAAATATTTGTGGAATTGAACAGGACTTTCTTTGGAGATAACTTTTTTCCGGTCTTCAGATTTTTTAAATGTTACTAATAAACATACGTTTTTATTAAAACTTTTTTGAAATATTTATTGTTGATACTAATTTTTTAGTGTTTTATTTGATTGCATATCTATTAATCCTATGTTCCTTAAGAATTACAGATAATGAAAAACACAAATGGGAACTATAAAATAGCCATTTGAAGGAAGTGGGTACCTATTATTATTGCATATTAAAGGAAGACCATATATTTTGCTGTATTCAGCCCGATTTTAGCAAGGATGTTTTTAAACTTCAATCACTCAGAAAATTTTGAGAATTTGTAATTTTCACTTGCTGCATTTCTTGAAGGAGTGCATCTGATTGGTGGAAACTAAATTATATCCTAAATTATTAGGGAGTTTGAGGGTTTTCAGCTTTTTGGGTTCTGAAGTACGTAAAGACTCACCAGATGGTGGTTGGAACGGATTGTGTACACATCAAGTTGCCATATCCTCCACAAGTTGCACACTGACCTCAAATAGCAAAGACCATCTAGTGCAGTACTCCTGAGTAGATAGGCTGTCTAACCAGACTGGCGAATTACAGATCAGAAAATTGTCCCACACCAGTCAAACACATGGAGAATATTCAAGTTTGTAATTTATAATTAAAATACACACACACACACACACACACACACACACACGATGTGCAAATGTTTGTTGAAAGGGATGTTATCATGGTTAGAGGAGGGAGGGACAAGAAGAGTCAGGTAGGGCTTCATGGTGGAGGCAAAACCTGAGCTGGCCCTGAAAGGAGGGCCTTTTAATGATTAAAAAATTAATTCAATATTTTTGAAATTTCTAGGCACCAAGCTAACAGAAATGGTTTCTTCCTCCAAAGAGATCACAGTGTCCTTGAGGGAGATAAATAAGGCACTATAGTATTACAGATGCTGTGATGGAGTTATGTACAAGGTACAGAGGGAACAGAGGGGGACAAGGTGGTCACTTGTCCTGGGTGGGGAGGGTGGCCAGGAAAGTCTTTTTTAGATGAAGTGTGGCTGAGCTGAATAGCTCAATAAAAAATACATCTCCTTAAAAGATACGTAATAGAAAAGAATGGTGGTATATCATTTAGGGTTTAACTATCCTCCTTATTTTAAACAGAAAAGATTGAATGCCATGAGATAGGTGCTTACCAAATCATTGAAAGGAATGGAGAAGTAGGCTCTGGGCTGGGACTCTAGGACAGACTCGACAGCACAGAACTGGCCACCCAGAGGAACCACTACATCTATCTGAAAGAGTCTGGGGAATCAAGGAAATTTTGGCTCCAGAGCCACACCACATCTTTTAGACTCCCAGCAGTAAAATGGATGCCTCATACTCATCTCTCAGGCACTGAGTTCCTCCCATCTCTCTTCTAATTTCATCCCATACCCAACATCAGACATTGTATGAGATCCTGAGACCCAAAGATGGAAAAGACATGCTCCTCTCTTTAAGAAGTTTACTGCCTAGAGAGGGTAACAAACATGTTAACAAACCACTATGACGTGATGCAACAAAGGCTAAAACTGAAATATGAATAAGTGCTGTGAGAGGCAGGGGCAGAGTGAGTTACAGTCTGGGGTAACCAAGCAAGCCTTCACAGAAGATGTGGCGTTGGAGCATGTGAGGAAGGATGAGCTGCAGTTTCCTAGGAAAAGAATCATAGAAGAGCTCTACAGAGAGAGATTGACATTTAGACTACTACAAAGAGCTAATAGAATTGTTTATCTTACCATTAGGCAAAAAAGTATATTTATTTTTCCAAAGTATCAAGAACCCGAGGAATAAAATAACCAAGATACTATGGCTTTGTAAGACATGAGAAAGAGGAAAAAGAACATAAAATTGTGCAGAGTCTTAAAAATCAGTTGTGCCAATACACGAAACAAGAAAATATCTCTGAACTATTGACCTCAGTATTTGGGAACTGGCATCCTCTATTTAGATGTGTGCTGAGTCTTTGTTTCCAGTTATTATCTGAGTTCCCTTTGTTAGAGTTAATTTAATACAAATTTAACTTTATTCTTGAGTCTGATGATTATGCCTTAAGGTCACACAGTG